TCATGGTATGCCCTTTCAAATGCAATTACAAAAGTGCAATTATGTCACAAAATGCAATTAGATATTCCAGGAAGATTATTTACGGCATGTTCCAACCATTGTGGACGTCTTGATGAGTGCTAGGCCATCTCGATTCTTCTCAATTTCGTTTGAACGCCTCAACAATACATTTGGGGTGTAGCAACGAGAGGTGTTCACACCAAACCACGAACGATGCTTCTGATATACCCCTCGTCCCGCAAGTAATATATCAGTGCTGAACGTCACAACTCTGCAACATTGGCAGTTGATGCGGAACATACAACTCGTGCAACGCGAAACTATTGTGTGCAGCTAAAAACCAGCCTTCCTTAGCAGCCACCATTTTGCCTGAAAAAAATGTACGTGCCGACATACTCTCACACGAACTGTGGCCGCTCCTGGCCTAAAGACCTGCGTCTACGTTACTCTAGAAATCTGCTAACGTGCCAGGTTTGTAGACCTGCGGTTGGCCGTGTCTGAAGGTGTGCGACCGGTGCAGATCTGTAGGTAGAGTAGGTGTATTATATAATAACAGGATGTGTTTATTTATGCACGAAGACATGCGATCGGGACCTACAGAACTTGTACATTGCGAGTGTGTTGACCCTCTTGGTGCTATGGTGTCACCTAGCATCGGGCCCCGAATGGAACAGTCAGTGCGAAATCAAACAATCAAACAACAGGTACAGTAATGAACGAGATCAAACGACCCAAAGCAAGGGAAGAACAATGGAGCTGCTAACTACAAAGGAACAGCTCAATGCACAAACCTTGACCTTTGCTGTTTATATCTCCAGCATATGCACGCACTGTGCAAAAGGCGATTGCAACTTTTCACAGTTGCAGAACGAGTTTGATTGGTTGCCTGGCTGGCACAAAACATAATATGGCACAGAACATGTCATATATAGCACAGAGCAAAGCACAGAGCATGGCGCAGGACATCGAATGACCGCATTGAAAACCTTTCAAGGTTACCAAAATGGCTCCAAAATAACAATTTCTAGTCAGCCCCAATCTCCATATAGTTATGGCTCAGCCCCATAGCTGCCTTGGCATTTGATGACAGATTTTAAGTGTCCGGGGACATTTTGGCCCCACCTCAGGCCTCTTAAACTTATCGGCTGACTTTGGTCAAATCATCTCAACCTGCCTTCGATATGGCTTGCATTCTGTCCAGTTCTGCTCGGGCTGTAGAGGTAACTAGTTTGGAAACCCGGCGGTTGCACCGACTTTCGCATGACAAATCGGCGCCAGTAACATTGCAGTGTGATGCCTCTAGATGAAAATTACACGATTATGCAAGGCGTGACAAGTCAAGTCGTGGTTAAGACTGATGACCGAGACTGGTCGTGGCCGTATGACTGTGACTGCTCGTGACTGATGACGCTGTTGGACGGTACAATTTGTCATTTTATTTCCTGCGAATGCATACCTACGTTGCACAAAGAGAGCCATAACGTCTGATTTAAGTGCTCAGTGTGGTCGTGGGATCGTAGCTGCGGAACTAGGAATTGGAGGACAAATTCAACGGTGGGATGACCGCTATATGCGTTGCAAAGCATATCACCCGGTGCCGCACATTCTCATCACTCGGATTTGGACTGACTGGGAAACACAACAAGTCAATAGCGTTGAACACGCCTGTGACATTTGATCAGATATCTCAGTTCAAACGTTTCGGATTTATAGCCCTCAGCAGTCTCGCGTTACGTTGTTAAAAAGGTATAAGATATTTTTGACAGCAAATTCATCTACTGTGACGAACAGAAACCAGGAAGCTGTAATTAACATATGTACGGTAGCCGTTTCGCTATAACACGTTGTTACATTACAACAGAATTGAGTTGCAGTGTCGTGGGACCGTCCGGTCACTGGTGCTTCGCTCGTTGGGGCGGCACATTGCACCGATACACGTCCGATCGGGTGCGGGTTTGTGTATTGACTCGCTCCGACAGACACATACAGCGACATCTATCCTGAAACGCTGTATAAGCGACGGTCGCGCCATCTCGACGGTGTGTTTGCTCCACAGCCCCCCCCCCCCCCCCCCCCCCCACAGGAGAAACTGTCAGCGACGATCAGTATCATCGTCCCCTGAAACGGACCAGCGAAGCCAACGTGGATGCGCTTCCAGGGCCCTGAAGCCGGCTCCCACGGATACAGAGTTGACGCCGGCGGTGCCGCTCTCTTCTCCACGCAGGCTGAGCAGCTTCTGGCCAGGTCCTCCAGCTCCGAGTCTAGGCCCGGCCACCACACGTAGCGTCTGGCCAGCTGCTTCATCTTGTTGCTTCCCATGTGTCCAGTGTGTACTTCCATCAGCACCATCTTCCTCAGCTTGATGGGCACTACCAAGGCGTGTTTCCCCTCAAAAAAGAGGCGTTGCAAAGGAGCCGCCCATAATCAGTACACTTTTACAACGGGCACTTTTTAAACCCAGTTTAAGAACTTTTAGCTACAATGACGCATTGGGGAGCATATTCATTACACAAAGAAATGGTGCTGTCTAGGACAATTTTTCCCACTTAAAAGCATACCAACAATTTTAAGTAAGCTTATTTCATCATATCTCACGCTCGCTTTCATATTTTCAAATGTGCAACATTCCCTTTGAGGCAGCGCAAAAGTAAGCTAAACACAAATTAAACCTGGAAAAGTGGGAAGGGGGGGGGGGGCAGTTGACCTTCCTGCTCCTTGAAAAGTGGGGAAGGGTATGCCCACATCGGTTCTCTCTGTGTCCACCACCATGAGTGCCGCGTTGCTCGGCGCGGTTCATCCTGCCCTCTGACGTTACATGGCCGTTAGTGCGGCCGCTGCCACCGACTGCAGGCTTTCCAGTCGAGAACAAATAGCGATTGCCTACAGTGACCCAAACCCACCTCGCCACAGTTTTCAGAGCCGGGAGGCGGACGCTCTAACAAGCTGAGCTTTGAGGACGAACTAGAGTACACCGCAGGACGGAACGATTTAAAACACAGTTTGGTGATGTTTCTTCTGCCTGGTCGTGCCACAAAAACGGTGTCGAGGAACGGAATCAATGCATGTTGGGCGGTGCATTCCAGGGGGAGAAAATGTTGGATGACTGACGATCACATGCTCGTCTGAGGACCTCGCACCCTTCAGCGTTCCAGTCGGGCCCTTGATCTTTGGTTGCTGGTGGCCTCTCGGACCCCTCGAACACGGTTACTGGCCGGCAGGGATCGCTCGCCGACACAGACCGTCACGTTAGACACTGTGTGCGACTGACCGACACTGGGGCCATCACTGTTGCAGAGACCTCAATTAAGCAAATTGCGGGACGCGGTCTTTTTCTGGCTTTGGAAATAGGCCCCCAGGGCTTACACCGACACGGAGCCAATAGTTTAGTAGTTTAGTTCTAGTAGTCTCTGGCCGAACTAGAAGTCCGCATTGACCCAAAGGCTTTCAATCAGTACAAGAAAGCTCTCTAGTTAACATTTGAACATTTGAGGTCACGGCCCTTTGGGTCGGGATACTGAAAGTGACCTACAGCCAGCCCCTTGAGCTTCGCAGTCGGTCCCTGGTCTTTGGTCCCGAGGGACCCTTCGGGTACCGTCTAACGCTGTCCTTGACCGACTCAGGGCACGTTGCCAACACAGAACCCTTGCTGGGCACTGTTGGCCGCTGGCCGATGCAACGGCCCTTCATTGACTTAGAGATCCGATCACTATAAATAGCGAAACCCGGCTTTGTCTCTGGTTGGAAGATGGGCTCCAGCCCAGACCGACACAGAGCTGGCTGTTCGGTACCATACGTGCCTGACCGATATAGGGTCTCTCATCGAATCAGGAGGCCCCAATTAGCGCAAAGAGCTCTTTGGCTGGTATTTAAGGTCCCGACACTGCGGTCCCGGCCCCAGTGCGACATACAGCCAGCGTTCTGGACCCTTCAGCATTCAGTGAGGTCCGTGATCTTGGGTTTCGATGGGCCCTTCGTGCCCTTTTTTGGGACGTTCGAACACGGCCACTGGCCGACTCGGCCCACCTGCCGACGAAGGGTCCCTGCTAGTTACTGTACTGATACATGGGTTTGTATCCTCATTGTTTTCAGAGATCCCAGGGCTCAGACGGACGCGGAGTTACTGTTTGGTGTTCATCGTCTCTGGTAATCGAAAAAGGCATGCATTATTCTGAGGATTCTAAATCGATGCAAGAGACTTTCTAACCGACATTTGGGGTACCGGCCCTTCAGGCCAGTGTCCTTAATCCTACCTACAGCCGGCAACTTGGGGCTTTCAACCTTCCAATCGGACCTTTGATCGTTGGTTCTGGGATCCTTCGACGCTTTCTTCGGGCCACTCGAACATTTTCCCTGACCGACTCGTGGCCCGTCGCTAATGCAGAACCCCTTGCTAGGCACTGCGGACCCCTGGCGGACACAGGTGCACCTCATTGACTTATGGCCCCGACGAATGTAAATCGCTGACCTCAGGCTTGTCCATGCTTGAAAATGGGCCCTCAGACCGTAACCGACAGGAAGCCGACTGCCTGGTACTGGTAATGTCTGACCAATATAGAGGGCGTCATCGACTCAGGGCAGCTAATGTGCACAAACGTACCTCTGACTAACATTTGACGGCTTGGCCCGAATGGTTATGCCCCTTATTGGGACTTCCGGTCAGCGCTTCGAGACATTCAGGCACTCCATTTGACCCCTTATTATCAGTATTGACGGGCCTTTTGGGCCCCTGGGGATCTAAGAAGGAGGCTTGTGCTGGCCTTGTCAATGCCGGTGCTAGGCTATAGGAAAATATAGTTCTTGATGAAAGCGGTAAACATCGATTAATTCAAGCAAATGTTAGGAGAAAAGAAAATACACAGATGTTCTTAATAATACTTAAGTGTATCACCCTCTTAGATAATTGCATCAATCTTTAACTAGTTTTTCTATCATACCACCTAAAATTGGGATAAAAAGCTCTTTCTGCCTGGCGGATTATTAAACAACTTCTCATACTAGGCAGCGCTGTGTGCCCTTTCCAAATCCGGTGCCTGTCGGAGAAACGATGGGTGGGTGTATTTTGTGTTTATTTTGTGTTTTCTGCCAGGCATGGTGTGATGTGTGTACTCTATCATGCAGAATAATGTCCTTAGGCTGTTTGAACCCTTATCGCGGGAAGAGTTTTGCTTTTTAGCGAGTAAATTGTGCCGGCCATCGCTTCTGAAAAGGATGTGCTGGTGCGACGATTTTTACGTGACATAAGTAACAGCGTTTATTCGGTTGAAGATGCATGCTAACGCATGCCATGGCACCTCAATGGAGTTTCCAACTAGGTAGATACGCAGTTTGGAGCAATTGCTGGTGACCAGCTTGGCACAAGAACTCACGTGAAGGCATGGTGCAGTTTCCTTTTCTGTTGTAATACACTATTCATCTGTCACACGAGGTTGGTATGGTTAGGCCGGGTTTCAACTTGTGTAGAGATTCTCTTCTATGCAATCTGGATTCCTCTCGTACTCATTGGCATGGAAGGACTATTCTTTCAAGCTTCAACAGTGCACCAAACTGCTGTCGGTGGGCTGCATCATCTGCCTAGAATGGCAGGATTTGAACAAAGATGTGATGATATTGAATGCCAATGTGACTGAAATATCTTCCCGGAAATACTCTTCCCACTTTTGTGGGTGTGTAATTTAGAATATAAAGGAATTTAGGTGTTAAGAAGGGTGGGATCATGAACTGCATGAAGAGTTTTGCAAGCTAGTTGTTCCAGTCCAAAACTCAACACAAATGTATGTATACAACACCCCCTCTAAAAAATTTTTGCATGCTTAGCTTTTACTAGGTTGGTAGTTTCATTGCAGGTGAATTGGATCAGTGAATTAACAGCTGTAAACCATATGATCACAAACCAAATGAGTATCTGAGGATGGTTTAGCCTTTTTACACCATTCTAGAGAGGCTTTGGGTGAAGGTGTACATTCCTATCTAACATAAGAAAAAGTCATTGTGCACCATTTGCTGTGTTTAAGGTGGAACATATTGTAAATCATCTTAAAACAGGTAGATTCATGCTCCTACCTTCAAATTGTAATATTTACGGTAGCGAGCTCCCGAGTGTCACATGCACCCCACCTCCTCGACTCCCCAGCACCGTTTCTGTGTTGCAGTTGCATAATTGCATTTTTTTGCTTATCAAGAACCATAAACAAATGTGCAGGACCAAGGTAACAATAATAATGTGATGAAAAACTTTTTATCTCGTCTAGGTACGTTTATGAAACGGACAAGCCAGAATAGTCCAGAACATAGCCTAAACTAAACTAGCCTTACCTAAACTAACATAACATAACATAACATAACATAACCTAACCTAGCCTAACAACCTAACCTAATCCAAGCTAACCTAACCTAACCTAACCTAACCGAACCCCCACCCTATCACCTTCAACCCAGTGTCCCATTGGCAACCATGTTCCATGCCATATATATGTACAGTATTGAGAAGTTTTGTTTAGCCACCATTTTCTCATTTTGCTTTTCATTCCCATGCAAAAATGTGATTTCCCCACCATGTTGACCAATTTATAAACAATGCAGAAGACTGCTTGGATACACAAGAAACGCATTTCATTGAATTCTTGTTACCTTAGCCTGATACGTTTTTATGGTTCTTGATAAGCAGTGCTATCGTAGTTATTTAAGTTCCAAGGTAAGAGCTTAGATGACCTGTTTTACGATTAATTATGATATGTTCTGCCTTGAAAATGATGATTGGTGTACAATGCTCTTTCTTAACATGAGGTAGGAATGTATACCCTGACCAGGCTTTGTAAGCAAGTGTCCTGCCCACTTGCAGCAAGCTATGGCTGAGGGACCAGGCCTCAAAGAATGTACCATTGGCTGACCCAGAGATTCTGGCAGGTTTGCCCTGAACAACTAAGCCCCAAGAATTGTAGGTGCTGGTGTAGCATGTCTCACTCAAAGATGCTGAAGTCAAAATGAACAGGGCTGCAGGTTTAGTTGTGTGGCTTTTCAGAAGTGCATGGAGTAATGCTTGTGTTAACCATTGCACATCTGGGAAACCACGGGTGTGGGGTTTGATTCCCTCCTGTGCTGCCCTTCCTGCTAGGGTGGGAGGCAGGAGGTACCATATAGCCTCGGCAGCTGAGTGTGTTATAAAGCCCCCCGACGGCACACATACAGGCTGAGTCATCTCAACAGTGATGAGATTTTGAACTGGAGTGGTCATCACCTACTTAAATGTGGTGCATAAAGAAGTTTTCATCTGCAGCATCTGAGCTATGCTTAGCAGTAAGGCATCCAACATGTTTCATCGACCTGCCATATATTCTGTGGGTCATTTATGTATCCTGGATGAAGCATAGCTTTTTGCACTGCTGAAGCTTGAAAAGAGGGCCCATCAATTTAAGTAAGCCTGGAAGGCACGCATATTGCAGTGTAGGGAGGCTGCACCATGGGGAAATGAGGCTCAAATGGTATTGATCTTGGAAACAGCTGACCATGTGATCAAAAGTTGAGTTATTGTGCCCAGCTGGTCACTGGCAGTTGCTACCAATTGTGGATCAACCCATTGGGTAACTAATGAGGTGTTATCCCATGCGTTATGGCCAGATTAGAGTGGTTGTTCTTGGCTTGAGAGCACCCATGTGGCAAATGCATTTGCAGTTCACTGTATTTTTGTTGAAAGGAAAATAAGGTTATGGATACAACAGCAAGCAAGTAGTGTGAGGAGTACTAGCATCAGGTTTCTTGAGACAGCTGTATCTATTTATGGCTTCATTGTTCACAAAATGCTGTTCCAGGCTGCTTCACCATAGGCTCACCAGTCTAGCATCAGGTGTATTGGCTGACCCCTTTTGTTTTTGTGACCACAGATCACCACAGTTCTGATTGCTGTGTATACTCATGGTAGTTCACATCATGTAGATTGCCAGATCACTGATGTTTCACTCTTCCAGGTAAGCCACGTGGTCTGCGCACTGCCCGCAAGCACGTCAAGCACCGTCGTGTCCAGCGATGGGCCGACAACGACTACAAGAAGGCCAACCTGGGAACGCGCTGGAAGGCTAACCCTTTCGGAGGTGCCTCTCATGCCAAGGGCATTGTCCTTGAGAAGGTGTAAGTAGTAGTGGTCTGATTTGTGGCTGGTAACATGTGGCCTTGGCTGATGGTAGATGTAGCTTGGCTAGTCGTACCAACTTGAATCATAGTTCCTTTAACTGCCTTCACTTGAATTTGTTTGTGATATAAATTCTTTAGATCAGAGGGTGGTTGGAAGTGGGTGCTCATATTTAAATGCTGCATTGATGAAGAATAGTGATGACATTTGTGTCCCTGGGTGCTGCATGAAGCCAGCATTGCAACAAGTCAAAATTCATGTGATTTAAGATGGTGCACAAATGTAGCACATCCTTGACCGGGACTGATTAATGTGCATCGGTAATTTGCGGACGAATCGTGCTTGGGACACGATCTGAGTGAGAAGTCCGCGCCCGAGCCGTGCCTCATTTGACGCGCACCCCCCGACCGGCAGCGGCGTGGAGGCCAAGCAGCCGAACTCGGCCATCCGTAAGTGTGTGCGCGTGCAGCTGATCAAGAACGGCAAGAAGATCACGGCGTTCGTGCCCCGTGACGGCTGCCTTAACTACGTGGAGGAGAACGACGAGGTGCTGGTGGCCGGCTTCGGTCGGAAGGGCCACGCCGTCGGCGATATCCCCGGTAAGGAGGTCCTCTTGCGCACAAGGCGGCGCCGTACTGGTCCCTGTAACGATTTTGGGATGATGTGCCATTAGGTGACAGGTCGGCCAAGCTAACATGATCTCTTGATAAACTTCCTGTATAACAGAAACATTGATTGTTGTGTAGTGTTACGTCGACTGCTTCTCAGTATAATTGTATCATCTAGTGAAGTAGTCATGCAATATCCTGCCCTAATGTCAGTTGTGCTTGCGAATCTGACACCTGTAGGCAAAGACAGGGTCAGGTTGAGTGCAGTGTGTTTTATCTTGGGCTACATAGCCCCAGTCGTGCTTCACTTTAGCATACATGTGATAACATGTGTACATGTACATGTACAGCGTACAGTGTGTGAAACCACAGGTAATTCAGTAGGGTAGCTGCGTTAGTAAACAATTGAACTAGTTTTGATTAGGTTATTGGGTGTTAAAGGGACGTCATTGGTAGTGGTCGTTTGCAAACGCCGAGAACAGATTTTGACACCAGTTTCCTTTCCAGGTGTCCGTTTCAAGATTGTTAAGGTAGCCAACGTATCCTTGCTCGCCCTGTACAAGGAGAAGAAGGAGAGGCCGAGGTCGTAATCCAATACATCATGTGACATGAACGTACTCTTTTGTGGTTGTGCAGTCAGGGATAAGAAACTGACCAGTTCGTCGCAGTGACGGTCAAATTGATGTCAGCGGCGGCAGGGGGTGAAACGTAATCTGAGCTAGACTAGGCTCTGTGCTGCATTCGCTTCGACACTTCTGTTTTGATCTTCCCGTCAAACGCGATTAGCAAATGAGCAAATGCGATGAGGCATGAATGCGACACTTGCGCGCAACTTTTTCCCGCTCTCGGAGATGTCAGACGGTTGCGGCAGGCTCTCCGAGACCACCAGCGAGGTCATTAAAGGATTCAGTATGGTGCCATGGGGTGCGCTGACATGCGCCGGATAGATTATGGGCAAACGTACGAGAAGGGAATGGCGTGTGACGGCTGTTCGTGAGATGGAGTACGTATGCCTAATGTTCGTTAGGATCCGTTAGGCAACAAAAAGACTTAGTGATGGCGAGAATTCGCAGGGATAAATGAACATCGCATGACAAAATGGTCATCAGCTAAAATATGGTAACAAAGATGCAAATACGTTCAAAAGTTCGTGTGGAAGAAAGCAAATAATTGTGCGCGATGTCAGTACGCGCCAGGGATTACGTGCGTTCCGCAGGAACACGTAGGCAAAGGTCTGTATTTCGATATCTGAAAGTACGCCGAGGTACAAAAGTGTTGGTCACCAATGAAACTGGTTTGATGTTAGTGCGCGCGCGAAACCTAGTGTTCAGCTTTCGTTTGTGGGGTCTGGTGCTTGATAAAATATCATTACGGGGCCGTCACATCATCGAATGGGGGAAGGAATGGATAAGAGATGGCGCTGAATGGTCAATGTGGGAGGGGCCAGGTGTTACAATGAACAGAACTCTTAGGCAACCAGCGGATGAGCTCGTCATTTTGGGTTACACAAGATGACTGGGATGGTGGGAACTGGAAGTCTGAAGGCAAAAGCAGGATGAAACAACACCAAACGAAGCTCACCACTGACGCCAACCGAGGGGCGCGACAAGTTGGCTCACTTGTAAAGTACGGAGAGGCGTGCCATTGACTTCGGTCAGCGATTGCTTGCACAAAGTAAATCAGATTTCCCAGGTAGTAATACAGCAGTTGGCCTGGTTTGGTGCACCCGCTTTGGGAAGAGGCCTGTCTGCACCCGATCCAAGTTTGTTCGAGGGCATCGTTTTTGAATTGCGCGTGGGATAGGGCCGGACCACCGGCTCGGCTGTATGCCGTAGATCATCCTTGAAAACTAAATTTCAGGGAAGTTTGAGATCAACCAGTGCATAATTTGACATCCTGGTGGTCGATCTGTCCTGTTTGATCTGTCGATTTCAGAGGAGTATTGTCCACAATCCTGAAGCCAGCTTTCTCCAAGCATCGTCACAGGCTTAAGGCATCTCTCCATTATTCTCTACCAAAGTATAACGTAAAGTACATCCACGGGCTCCACCCATACGCCTGTGCTGCTCACGAAGCTACAGCACACGAACTTTTTCCATGCGAACTGCTGTCTGGACTGATAATCCAATGCGAGCATTTTCCATTCGACTTTGTGCCTCACGAGCATTTGTTTACGGCTTATCGCGTACGAGCTTTTGCGTATGCACTTCTTTCAGCGAACTCCATATCTTAGGCTTATTTCTGTAGGCATAATTGCCTACGCACTTAATGCATGCGTCACGATATTTTCTGAACGTACCCACAGATATTGCGCGCAGTGAAATGCGTTGGCGGGTCGTAGGCGGCGCTGGTATTCCAGAATGCATAGATGGCGCTGCTTGTGTGGAATTCGAGGATCTCTGTTGATCTCCGTCATTCAGGAACTTTTTTTGCGCGATCTTGGTGCCCGTTGGAGTAACACATATTGCTGTGTTTTTGAAATGGATAATTTTCTCGTCTCGACTGCGTACAGCGCACGACTTGATCAGCTCTGGATCAGGTCAATGTGTCGGTCAGGCGCAGGCCGTTGTTATCAAGTGCCCATCTGGGGGCAATGGATTGGTCTGTATGCACTTCATCTGCTATTTTGTCGTGTACTAAATAGAAGAAAGCGGTTATGACGTCGGACGTAATTTGTGTTTCCCCTCTAAATCTTCGAATTGTCTCGCCAGACATTCTCCAACCAAACCGACGTGAATTTTTAAGGTATATTTCGAGAAGCGACGTTGTTCCAGCTGGAACGTAACGTGCCCTTATGTAATCTAAACACCACAACGATGCGAAAAGCTGACAGAGTATCGGGAGCCGAGCAGCGAGCCGTTCAAGTGAGGAGCGATGATGCGCCTGACGCGCGAGAGCCGCTCATCCCATCTAACGGGCAGGCCGCCGGCGTGCTCGAGCAGGGGGGGGGGGGAGGGGAAGTGCCGGTCAGGTCGGCGGTGGGAGCGTTGTCGGTCGATGCCATTCGGGTCCGGTGGGTGGGCCGGTCCGGGCAGGTTCCGGCGCTGTCAGCGGCCGGTGTTGTTACGCGCCGCCAGCCAGGACAACCTGCTTGAACTCTGAAATGGCCGTCGGAGTGGCGTTACGCGCCGCTGGAGGTACCCGCCAGGCGGCGGAGATTGTTGGCGGCGGCAGGAGGCTTGTGCGGGCATATACGGCGAGCACGAACGAGTGGCATGACGCACTATCGTATAGGACGCGAGACTAGCACCGTCTCTTTGAAAGGCGGCTACCGCTCCCCCACCCATGTGGTTGCTGTCGGCGAAAATACGGCATCAGCTCACCGACAGCCGCGGCCCAGCTGCGCCTGCATCACAGAAGAACACGAGGCAAAAACCCGGTTGGGCACATCGTTAGGCAAGACAAGCGTGGCAGTGTGGAGCGTGCCTGCTTGGGTGTGGAACGAGTCATTGGGGAAGGCATCGGGCCTGCCAGAGCAGTATTCTATTTCCATTCTTACTGAAACGAGCGGCAAGTTGGGACTGCAGGAACAGCTTTTTTCTAGCCCCAGCGTATCTAAGACGCGTGCAAAATTGCCAGTTTTGCGTCTTGGCTTGGTGAGAACAGCAGCCGTTGCTGGTACACTACTACACCGGCACCGTGACGCTATGGACGTAAGCTACCGTGATGAAATTTCTTGCGATATGTGATACTCGCATCCCATTGGGGCCGTTTAGCCGCTGAAACTTTTCATAACCAAGTGGGCGTTAAAACGAAAGTCCCAGCAAATTAAGGGTGTTTTGTGACGAGTGTTTCCCATGATCGCGCCTAGATTGGGAAACGAACAATTGGTTGCAATTTGCGGCAACTTTCAAAAGTACGGGGTGGCCCAGATAGAAATTAACCAATTTGTCACCCAACAGCGGCGAGGGATATTTGTAGCATAATCGTGGTCTTGGTGGCTTTTCGCCTGACAGTTGAGTGGTGCAACACGCTTAGCGACGGCGGAAGTCACCAGTGATCGCTTACTTAGACTTACTCAGATGTTTTGCGAGGAATTACACCCTATTCAAAGCCTTTAAAAAGCAGCCTCACATCGCGAAATAGAGAGACTTGAGATCTGAACGGTCATGGGCGGCAACCCAGCTCTCCCCGGCGGTACCCAGGTAAGGGGGGGGGGGGGGGGTTGACCGGGCAGACTGTGCGGAGTCCGCTGTCGGTACTCATCCACCGTCCGCTGCCGGTCCTCCGTACCCGGGTAGGAGATGCGGCTGTCGCCATCCTCGTCAATCTCCTCCACGATCTCCTCGACTGCAACGCACAGATTGTGTGGTTATGGCTATGTACACGCACTCGTTCTTTGCGAAATCGGACAGCACATTACTCACGATGCAGACCCATTCAGGCGCCGAGGACAAGATTGCGACGTCGGACTCTGAAAGGTGCTTGCCGCATGACACTTGGCTGCGGTCTGTTTCCTGAGTGGCCAATCAGCTTGTAGCATTTCTCTGGGATCCGAACGCATTATATGTCACCTGTGCTCCGCAGCATTCTCAGATCAGCCATATCGTGATTCATGACAACAAAGAACGTCCGGTGTCCTGCTTTGATCAAGTATGCGTGAACCACACCGAGAGGGGGTGGCACCAAAGTTCGTTTTAAAGTGTCTTGCCATTTCCCGTCCTGGCGCTATCGTAAACCCTTCGCGAGCAGAAGAATGCCGTGCCCCGTGGCCTCTGCTTCCGCGTGACGCACAGTCAACACATAGCTTATCAGGGAGAGTGGGACGCAAGCACACGTGGCATGACACCTCACAAACAAGGGACAACAAAGAGTCTTTTGTAGCCTGCGCCGGTAGCCTGCGCAAATAGTGTCAGTGCAGTTCTACGCGTCATGTTTGGTGACTTCTTTACTTAACAGAGCCTGGTGGATAAAGAACAGCCACCAATCTGTCAAACTGCCACGAATCCGTAAGGCATTGGTCCAAGCAGTAGCTCTAGAGCAAATAAATCCGAACACGTTGATTTCGTCGGCCAAAATGGCCAGGCCTGGCACTCTCATAGCCGCCATTTGTCGAACAATGTGATCTCTGAACAGGCACGCAAACGCTGTGTCAAGGAACGTCACAATCAGCGTAACTTCAGCGCAGTACACCGATGAGGCTCTTTGAGATGATTTCATAAAGGTTTCATTAGCCCCATTCACTCCACCCCATCCCCAGCTGTTGCGGCGTCACACGTGCGTGGCGATACCAACCGCATACGCTAGCACGACGCTAGTTCCACGACATGCGACACGTCCTGCTAATGATAATATTCGTCTAAAAGGCTGAAGATTTTCCAACAGCTTAGCAAACAAGAAACAGCTTTCAGCTGTGGAGCATATACATATACATGGCGTACAGTAAACTTGTCTGCTTCGGTTATAGCCCTCCGTCATATATATATATATATATATATATATATATATATATATATATATATATATATGTACATACATGCACACATGTATGCTCGAACGTGACACTTAAGTTGACTTACTTTCCTCCAGCGAGATGTTCTTTCCCAGACTTTTGAGAACGTTCCAGATGTCCTTGGGGCTGATGGTGCCAAAGTTCTGACGGTCGAAGATCTGGGAGCAGTACCAGTCATTGTCACTGTTAAGTATACACTGTTAAGTATAACTTCGTTCTGCAGTGTCATGTGTTGTCATAAACTGACGAGACAATATTGAGCGGTGCAACAAACCGCTATACCATATGTGATTAGCTCGGTTCCATGCTGCCCGCTTTTGCATTATCGGACGGCAGGTACGCCCTCGCGCCGCGCTGCACGGACGGCGCAGATGTCTACTCACCTGGAAGGTCTGCCTGAGCGTGACTTCACGCTCGTGGGCCGTCTTCACCATGTTCTCCTTTCGGGCATAGGTCAAGGCGCACAAGAAATCCTCGAACGTGATCAGTCCGTCCCCTGCAACGCAAGCTTGTCTTCGTTTCGGCACATGCGTTGGCAATGCTTCCATGTACAGTAAGTCTACTGGAAACGCAGTCCTAAAAGCAACAGAACATTCACATGCAGGCCATTCTTGTTCATACCGTCAATGTCGGTCTTGGTCATGACGTCTGTCATCTCTGAGTCGGTGATGTTCAGTTCGATGCTGCGGAGGACGTTGGTCAGGTGCTCCGAGGAGATGATGCCGTCCTCGTCCGTGTCCAGCAGGTCGAACTGACGCCGCAGCGCTGCCGAATGACCAACAGTGAGATGTACGATGACCGCCACGAAGATGCTGTTACGAAAACGCTCAGTGCATGACTTATGCTAGCTGCGCGTGAGCTTTGTACAACCTCCGAAGACAGGCATTCCGACGGCTCATGCATATACCAGGATGCAGTGCGCGTTGCTGTCTCTTTTGACACTTTGTCTCATGTTGCTACAAATACACTTGCGCAAACTTCTCGTCATATTTAACGCCAGACTTACTTATCGATGGATGGAAGTAACGCATTTGAAAAACGGGCTCTTCGTTTCTGAAGTGTTCTAACGCATTTCGGCAGAGCGGAGGTCTGTGAACCAGCTGTATGTAGGTAACCAAAGGCCCGCCCTGCCGCCTGCACGAGCGCGAACGTTCAGCCACTGCGCCCACCCTCTGCCCCGGGGCTGGGCGCTCGCTGTCCGTCCAACCTCCACCCCGCGGCCAGGCACTCACAGTCCTGTTGCCCTCTACCCCGGGGCTAGGCACCCACAGTGCGTCCACCCTCTATCCCGGGACTGGGCACTTGTTCCGTCCACCTTCTGTCCCGAGGCTGGGCACTCACAGTCCGTCCACCCTCCACCCCGGGGCTGGCCACTCACAGTCCACCCATCCTCCACCCCGGGGCTGGACACTCACAGTCCACCCACCCTCCACCCCGGGGCTGGACACTCACAGTGCGTCCACCCTCCAACCCGGGGCTGGACACTCACAGTCCACCCACACTCTACCCCGGGGCTGGACACTCACAGTCCACCCACTCTCTACTCCGGGGCTGGGCACTCACAGTCCACCCACCCTCTACCCCGGGGCTGGACACTCACAGTCCGTCCACCCTCCAACCCGGGGATGGACACTCACAGTCCCCCCACACTCTACCCCGGGGCTGGACACTCACAGTCCACCCACCCTCTACCCCGGGGCTGGACACTCACAGTGCGTCTACCCTCCAACCCGGGGCTGGACACTCACAGTCCACCCACCCTCCAACCCGGGGCTGGACACTCACAGTACGCCCACACTCTACCCTGGGGCTGGACACTCACAGTCCACCCACCCTCCAACCCGGGGCTGAACACTCACAGTCCACCCACCCTCTACCCCGGGGCTGGACACTCACAGTGCGTCCACCCTCCAACCCGGGGCTGGACACTCACAGTCCACCCACCCTCCAACCCGGGGCTGGACACTCACAGTCCACCCACCCTCCAACCCGGGGCTGGACACTCACAGTCCACCCACCCTCCAACCCGGGGCTGGACACTCACAGTCCACCCACACTCTACCCCGGGGCTGGACACTCACAGTCCACCCACCCTCTACCCCGGGGCTGGACACTCACAGTGCGTCCACCCTCCACCCTGGGGCTGGACACTCACAGTCCGCTCACCCTCTACTCCGGGGCTGGACACTCACAGTCCACCCTCCAACCCGGGGCTGGACACTCGCAGTCCACCCACCCTCTACTCCGGGGCTGGGCACTCACAGTCCACCCTCCACCCCCACCCACCCTCCACCCCGGGGCTGGACACTCACATTGCGTCCACCCTCCCACCCGGGGCTGGACACTCACAGTCCACCCACCCTCCAACCCGGGGCTGGACACTCACAGTCCACCCACCCTCTACCGCGGGGCTGGACACTCACAGTGCGTCCACCCTCCACCCTGGGGCTGGACACTCACGGTCCACCCACCCCGTACCTCGGGGCTGGACACTCACAGTCCACCCACGCCCTGCCTCGACGTTGTCCCGGACCAGGGTTACTCACAGTCGATCTCGTTGCCGGGCAGGTGGGCGACCTGGCGGTCCTCCGACGCGTACATGTTGCTGGGAGCCATGCTGCTGCTGGTGTCGAAGTGGAGGGCGGAGCGAGAGGGGCGCTGCTGGCGGAGGCCTGGGCTGAGAGAGCCGACTGCGACCATGCCCCGGCCGTACCGCCGCTTTGTAGTGACCAGCCGACCCCCGGGGGCAGAGCGGACGCCGCTGGTCGTTGTCGTCCCCAGACAAACACAGGTGGTCGCGAGCTGCGCTGGCATGACCGGTCTGTCGTCAAAGGTCACCTTGAGCTGTGTTCGAAGGTACTGCGCATTGATTGAGTGCAACAGCTCGGCGGAGCGCTTGGAATCAGCCTCATTGTTAGTTGGGCCAGATGGAGGAGTGAAGAACAATTCTCAACGCAGCAGCGGTTGCGCAGGAGGCTGCTTCATGCGTGCGCGTCGTGCAGTCTCTCCGTCTTCAAACATGATAGCAGCAAGCTGCCTATAAATTACGAGTATTGCTTTAACGTTCTCATCGTTCAGCCAGTCCTACTGATCTGGTACAGAATCGTGTATCAGATCGTCAGTGGAGTGATGTGGACTACTTCAAGGGAAGCAACTCAACAGGGTATTGGTGCCAGATCAGCGGAGGCATTTCGAAAAGCCCACAATGAACTGCACTACGAACTCGCAAAGCGTCGCAGGTGCGCGGTCTTCTGTTGTGCTGTTAGCTCAGGTGATGTGTGACCACATAGTTAAGTGGCGATGGAGGCGACGACGGAGTGACACCGGCCGCAGGTAAATACACATGTGTCAGGCTTTCGCCTGAACTGCCTGCCGAACCAGCCTGGTCCGAACCACCAATCAGCGCGGTACTTAGATGCCCACTGCATTGGCCGGCCGCTGCCGGGCTGACCTCGACCGGACACCGCCGCGGGCACACCCTGGCCGCGCAGGGGCGGACCCAATCCCAGCAGAGACGGCTAACACCCTCCGCCCTGCCCATCTCGCCAGGGATTCCTTTTGTTAGCAGGTTGCTTTAGGCCTATACACACAGCTGCCGTACTTCGACAGTGATATTCAGGAAACGGTAGTTATTTAACTTTCAAGTGAGTGTCATTTATTTGTTAAGCAAGCTCAAGAAAATGTGTCTTTCTTGCCTCTGTTTTCCGATACACGTCATTGACGTGTTGATCGCGCGTTGGTCCTTTCGTGACGCTATTGAAGGATGAAGCAAGGCAACTGAGTTGATAATGCAGCTATCAATGAGGAACAATGCTGATTGCCCTTAAAACGAAACTCCACGTTTTCAACGCAACTTTTGCGCTGGCATCCAATGAATAGCATGGGTTCAGGAGATAATTTAATAATTTTGAACGTGCAGTAGTTCACTCACGTTCAACTCTCCCCAGTACGTCGAGACTTCTGAACTTCCTCGTATGTCGAGGAGCTGAACTTTTGGGTACGTTGAGGTGCTGAACTTCTTGGAGCGTCGAGTTGCCGAACTTCCGGGTCCATTGAAGTGATGAACAAAGTCTGGACAGCTCTGGAACGGAAAAGAAGCCACCAAAGTGACGAGCCGCAATTCTAGTGAAACAGCGCGCGCCTCACACCGCCAAGACGACCACGTGGTGTCTAAAAATACACCTCGGAGAAAATGTGATCACTTGGTTCTTATTGCAAACTGCTGTCTCTGATGCATTCTCCTGACCTAAATCCACCGCGTTCGTTCCGTTGGATACTCAAAGTAATTTGTAGAACCTTAAACACAATAACTTCGCTGATCTGGTCTGACAGCCCACTTCATGCGGTCTGGTCACACCATATCACGTTCATATCCGACCACATCCGACCTGAAGCAACCACATGGGATGCGAGAACCATCTCCGTGCCAACCTGCGGGTGTGTAGCGAAAAAACGCACGTCGCACGCGCAGCTTCAAGATGCATCCAGACAAGGAGGGCCGCATCCGGGACACGTCACCGGTAGGCCGGCCCCGGGCCGTGGAAACCAGGGAGCTCTGATGCCGAGGCCGAGAGCCAACAACAAATGCAAACTGCGTTATTTTAAAAGAAAAAAATGGTGAGGTGCGCTGCTGTCTTGAATATGGCATTTCACCCCCGCCCCCCCCCCCTCATTTTATTGCATTCACATTCCACAACTCTCGAAAATGCACTCCTTGGCTCCCACGCGTTCTAATGGATACGTCTTCCTGCCTATCATATACGTCGACAGTCAAGAGATATTGCCGTTCCTTGAGTTTGATAAAAGATGCTTGAATCCCCTGTTTATGTCTGAAACCAATGAAATCAACCGTTTGATATCAGAGAAGGCCCACGGACTACCAAAAGGGCGTCTGTTTGCGTTACGACGTAAACTACCACAGGGGCGCCGTTTCTTTATACGTTTCGGCAGGCCTTCTCGTTGCGTGACCCGTGGGGCCAGGGCGGCACATGCCTCCGTAACCCCCCTCCCTTCCTTCCTCTGTATCTGTCCTGAGCCCAGAATGCAGTTGCTTTGCCAGAAGGGCCATACAGGTCATGTTGGCATAAAAAGGCCACAGTGCACCGGACATGGCACCGATTCATTCCGACAGCAACAGGATGCTTGCACGCGGTTTGGCATAAAGGCACATTGCTTCATTTCAGCCACAACACAAGTTGTACCCCATCGCTGCATCTCTATAGTTTTGCTACAGACAGGCGATGCATCCTCCTACGCGCCGAGCAGTGGAGTCGGGGGGAGGGGGTGGGGGGGGGGGGGGGGGGCACCGTGGAACAGGCGCAACAAGTTCCTAACACATATGCCCCCATCTTTCGCACCGCTGAAGAGGCAGACGGCACCGGTGAAAAGCCGCCGACTTGGTCAGTTATCACCTTAATATGGCCTCCTCAGTCAACACACACTGACTGAAATTCAGTGATACCGCTGAAACTCGCTCTATGCCGGCGGTAAAACTTTTCCTTAGCAATGGGAATGGCGGGCTGCCACATTGGCATGTCAAGGCAGTAAGCTATGCATGATGCCCTCAGGCGCCATTTTCAAACTCGCACACGTCTAGAGGGACCGGACCCTCCAAACACACGGAAACCCCACCAAGACGGCGCGCCGAGGGGCATGCATCGATGCGCATCTGTGCGTGCTCAAGATGACGCATGACGCATACAGGATGGATGGCTCTGCAGTGCTGGCTGGCACACAGCACGGCGGGCGCGGCTGAGAACAAAGGCTCGTTAGTCGCATTCGGTGCACTTTGATCTAACCTGGCGTCGGCCACCTGGACGGCCTTTCACCGCGGTGCCAACAGGCCGGCGGCGGCGGCGCCAGGCTGTCGGCTCAGTTCTTGGTGACGGGCGTGTGTGTGTGTGTGTGGTGTGTGTGTGTGTGTGTGTGTGTGTGTGTGTGTGTGTGTGTGTGTGTGTGTGTGTGTGTGTGTGTGTGTGTGTCAAGCTAGGTCATCAGGGCCCTGTGGCTCTCGTTGACCTTGTTTGATACCGACAGATCTTCCATATCATCAAGGTGGTTGAAGGATATTTGCATGACACTGGCAGACCGCTCATGCAACAGATGCCACTGGGGCAGTTCAGAGAGCCTTGGACGGTTCTGACAGTTGTTACATGCCACCAAGGTCCATATCAGGACAGTCCATATCACCAAGGTGGTTGAAGGATATTTGCATGACACTGGCGGACCGCTCATGCAACAGATGCCACTGGGGCAGTTCAGAGAGCCTTGGACCGTCCTGACAGTTATTCCATGCCACCACGACCTGTGGCAAGACTTCGGCACCTGGTCTGGCCATGCGTCGTCTATGAGATCCACGCTCGACACGTTTACGAGCATGTGAGGTCAATTGTCAGTGAAGAAACTTGCCCGCCTACTTTTCGAGAGTTCAGTGCTGTGTATTTGCTGACAGAAACAGTTCTTCCGCCACACTAAGCACATCTTGGGTATAACTCCCCATATGCAGGGAGAACCGGGGGCGGGGCCTATGGTGGCCAGGTGCCCTGGCCACCATAGATCGCTGGAGGGGGGGGGGGGGGGGGAGAGGGATCTGAGCTGGCTGGTGTCCCGTCTGCCATATATCTCTGGAGGGGGAGGGGGGGGGGGGGGGGTGGGGGTGTGTTCTGAGCTAGCAGGTGCCCCGGCCGCCAAAGATCTCTGAGATCTGATGTCTGTAAGCGCACAACACTACCGGGGTTGAGCCTGCCAAATAGTTTGTGTCCGTTTTTCTCAAATGAACAGCAAATATTATTTCAAAAGGCAGTTCTTCAGATAAGGCGCATCTAAAATTTATCTGTTTGTATGCTTCATCTTCGACCATGAGCCCGTGCACTGAAGGACTGCCGTAATACATAGAAGTGTCATCGCGCTCTTCTCGTCTTCCTTCATTTAACAAGGCCTTGCATGACTTTAGGACAACAATTTGCAAAGTTTTTGCGGCGTAACAGAAAGCTCGTGGCAGGAGTGGAACGCTAAATTAATGAGGGAAGTGCCACGCGACCGACGAACGGTAATACGACGCCATCGATTGAGTAGCCGTGGGGATGCCTCGGACGCGACTGTCTCCACATTTGACTCCAAACTGAGGTTTCCGTAGAACCCATCTATTTAAGCGGTGGACTAGAGCAATGGACCAATGACTCCTTCATTATAATTGCTAGCCAAATCGTAAACGAAACTGCTAATACCTTGGATAGATTAGCGAACATCCGCATGCGTTAGACTTACGCTGCTCTGCCAATCACAACTTCTATCTGTTTTGTCTATGTGCTCGTATTCGCCACGACTAGCGCACAAGCTCCAATGTGCTCACCCAGCCTCCTCGGCGCGCTTCCTTTACTCTCGGCCCTGGTGGGGCATGACTACTACGTGAATCGTGTATGCCAACGTTATGGAGGTTAGGCGATCCAGAAACCGTCACTTTCTGTTTGTGGAAAGAGGAAGCCCAGTGTGCATGCATGAGGTTAGTTATTCGGTCATATAATATGCAGAGTAATTTGATGGGTACTATTTGTGCAAATGGGAGGAGGCGCTGAGCCCCCATTTTTTGTTGGACAAAACTGCAGAAGATTGCAGGATGAGCATCGAACGGATGGTGGCCATAAAGGTACCTTTGAGATAACAATAAGTTATTGCAACTATTCCCGTATGTAACTAAATAGCA